GTCTCCTCGAGCCCTCCAACCTCTCATCCCCCTTCCCCCGCCGTCCCACCCTACCTTCTGCTTGCTCGTCGAGCACGATTTCAACCCTATTCACTCACCGTGACCCTCTGTGCACCCGCTTTCTATACAGGCCCTTACCGTCGACAAAGCAACGAAATAACAGATTATTACAGCGATGATTGTTTCGGATATGTGCCACCATCAATATGGTGGTTTCAAGTTCGCCCGGATTGTTAAAGGGATTAACTGATTGAATAAGTCGAGCGAATAAAATACCGTTTTTCGTCTTTTCGCAATAAACGCCTAAATTCTCGGTATCGTAATTGCCTCAAAATCTCTCTCTCTCTCTCTCTCTCTCTTCCTAGTTACGTCTAACATTTGCAAATATAATAAATATAATATGAGTTTACTCACCAATTGCAGCTACTGGTTCTTCACCTACAAAAATTAATATATTATAATTATTATGTATTTGATCGTTTTATGATATGCGATTTTTTTTTTAATTATTTAATTATTTCCATTTTGACTAAAATGTGCAATTTAATGTATACAGATAATCATATGTATACATTAAATTGTAAAGAAAATGAAATTCAGTATTTTATTATTCAACTGAACATTTTTTAATAGTATAAATATTTCTCAGTTTATTAAATTCGTATCTCAATATTTCTTTTGCTTGTACGCTTATTAATTTTCTATCGAGAAATTTACTTGGAAATGATTTCAAAAACTCTGAAATTAATCACTGACATTTCCCGAAGTATAATCATAAATCAAAAATAAAAATGTACAATAGATAAATAATTTTTAATCATTGAAATTTAATTAACTATGCACTATTAATATTATTTTAGATTTTTACTCGTAGTCTCGGTAGATTTAATCCATAGTCTCACAATTAAATATCTTAATAAATATTTAATAAGTTTTTCATGCAATATATAAAAATGTTCTCTCATATTAAAATTTCTCGACTACTTTAATAAATATTATATTTAATAAATATGTAATAAATAATTCATATTGTTCACATGTATGTTATCGCAATTACGTACATATTTAAATAACGAAGAAATAATTTTATACGTACTCATACCAGTGCATGAAGATCAAAGTTTGCTCCACTCGTTGCGAGACTTCTGCCTTAGAAATTCTCCTCATCAACTCCGTCGAGGAAACGATACATCCAGGAAACACTTCACTACGCCCACTACTAAACTTCACATACTTTACACGTGCTTTAATTACTTCGAAAATTAATTCGCGCACTTCACTTTCCGAGATCATATTTGCACAGTAAATTCGCCACTACGCAGTAAGTACACGAAACGTAAAATGCGAAAATAAAGCAGACTTCCGTGATGCATGATCACAACTGATTATTTACGTGCGATTGGCGAATTTTCCATTACGATTAGCAGTGACTTCTGATAGAGTTCGATTCCCGGCAGAGCCAAAATTTCTTCTTCTAGGACTTCGCAAGCCAACGAGGGTATGTTCTAGCCAAAAAGCCTCTCGAGAAAAATCGGAATCGACCATCGACGTTAAAAATGTAGGTTAGGTTCCATATGACGATGTATAATCTGCATGCGCACCCGGCACCACCGGCACCACAGTCATATGTGAGAGGCCACGTGACGCTATAACCGATACATGATTTTTCATGAGATTTCTAGCTAGATTATTCTCTAGTTTGTTTGTGAGACCCAAGAAAAGAAAATTTGGGCTCTGCGGGAATCGAACCGGGACTTCTGGCTAATTAATAATACATAATTAAAGTGTGTGGTAACAATTAACAGTGAGTATTGCCCGCTAATTATTACTATATGTTTTAATTATTTTATGCATATATAATTTTTTATACGTAATAGTATCAATATTTTAATCACAGCAATTTTTTAAGCTTTTATATAAACTACAAACAGTGTGGTCACGGATAATATAAGAAATAGTCGTGCTCACTGCCAATTTTTATTATCTCGATAAATCTCATGCACATATGCATAATTTTCTAAGAATAATAATCGTAATATTAATTATAGAAATTTCATGTTTGTAAGCTACAGAATCAACTAGAGGCAGCGATTGCGGCTAGTATAAAAAATAATCGCTGTTGCTGCCAATTACGTACTGCTATTAGTATTAATATGTTCCAATTTTAATTCATACATATAATCTTTCATAAATCCAATGATCGCAATATTAACTACAGTAATTTCAAGTTTTCAAACAACCGAAGCAACTCAACAACTCTGATTGCGGCTAATGTAGAAAATAATCGCGATCACTGTTAATTATTATTGCGTATTTGAATTAATTCGTGTACATACAACTATCTAAATATGATAATATCATAATATTAACTACCATAATATTAAACTTCTAATCTGCAAAACTAGCTACAAACCATGATCGTGTCTAACAGAGAACATTATCGTAATTACAAATTATTGTATATGTAAATACTATCGTTTACTGTCCTATATATTATATATATATATATTGTCACATATATATCTACATTATATATATAAATATTAGGATAAAGTCGCCTATTATGAGATATTAGGTTCCTAATGTGAGATAGCGAGGTTTTTGCTAAACTAATGAGCATATTTAATTAGTTCCATCATGAACTTATTACTCTTAGAGTGAGATCTATTTAGTAGAAAATTTGTAATTAGATCATGCGTATCGTTGAGAAAAAAGATTTATAAAATTGGGAATATTGTCAAATTTTACTGAAATGAGCTTTAAACCTTATTTATTATGTAATAAATTCTGCATGCAGTAATAGAGTAAGATTATATAACAAGAAAATATGGGATGTGATGATTTGATTTATTGTGAAGATTAGATTTAGTAATCGGGAAACTGCAAAACGTGAGGCTTGTAATATGAGATACTAAGTTTTATTTAATGTCTAAAACTTAAAAAATTTTAATTTTATTTATTTTCTGACTGTTTTATTTTACATAAGTATACAAGCTTGATATGCTAACTGTAATTGATTCCTAATCTTAGGATTAATGTTTTAAAACGACAAAGTCATAAAAATATTTATACATTTATTATGTGTAATTGAAATTTGCTATGTTAATATTTTTATGTAATAAAAGCGTTTATATAGAAAGCTTTTCTTTATTTTTTTCTTGGTTTCCTATTATGAGATATCTCATATAAAAAAATCCTTGTGTCTCATATTAGGAACTTTTTTTGAATAAGCAAAATCAGTACTTTTGATAAAAATTTTCATATGTAACAAAGCTATTATTGATTGCTACGACTTTTAGAGATAAAACTTGAATATTTTTTCTACAACTTTGACATAAAAATAGGAGTTAAGATTACAAATTAAATACAATAAATTAATGGCCTTTAAAAAAAGGTATCTCATATTAGGCAATTTTACCCTATATATATGTAATTCTTTATTATTTTTATTCTATATACAATTATACTAAATATATAAATATCATCAACTTTTGTGCGCGAATACTATACATTTCAATTAATTTATTTTATTAATTTATGGAAAATTTCTTATGTATACAATACTACGGTCACAAGGATATCATTTGACTTGGAATTGTGAAGCACTGTATAACGTATTCAAGTATTACGATTGTACGAAACATTCTTTGACGAATTTGTCACATGATTGTCATACATTTCTGAGTGAAAATAAAGATTGGAATGTAAGTCGAATGTAAAGGGAGAATGATCGAGGGATAAACGAAACTTCTATGAAGCAAAAATTAAAACAGCAAAATGTAAAAGAAAAATAAACCTTTTACATATAGTTGTTTCAATTTTCGCTTCTTAGAAGCTTTGTTTATGCTTGTCTCTTTCTCTCTCTCTCTCTCTCTTTATCACTCTTCCCCTTACATTTGATTTACGCTCCGATTTTTCTTTTCGTTAAGGTTGATACGATATACACTATCCAGTAGTGGATTTCACTATATATACTAATATTTAGTGGCAGATATCATTAAGTGTTATATAATTACAATATTTTTTTAGTTTAGTTTAGTTTAGTTTAGTTTAGTTATATAATCTAAGTCTGACAATGTATGTAACGAAATACGTACGTTAGTTATGCTACGTTTTTCTTGAAAAAACATAAGGATCAGATTAGTGTGTCTATTTTAATTAATTGGTTCGTGCGAAAAAATGTTCTGTAGAAAATTCATTGTAGGAATAATGCTACGATCGCACGAAATTTACTTAATAAAACTGTGTTGTATGATCAATATCGTATATTATTGATTATATCGAATATATATTGTATTCTCTTGTGATATACATTTACATTAATTTTATTATCAAATAAAAATTTTAGTAACATATTTGTAAAAAAATATAGACTTGCTAGCAAAAAGGTACTTACATCGACATCGTTCGGAAAATCTCCGAAGTTGCTCTTCATGAAATCCTCATATTGGTCGGTACTAAGAAATTATTTTTATACATTTTTTTTTTTTAGAAAGAAAACAAAACTGATATCAGACTTCTCTCTGCTAATATATCTTTAACATAATATCTTTAACATAAAACTATGCAAATTTTTTTTATATAATATAAATATTATAAACGCAATATTGTAAGCAGAGAGAAGCATGATTCGAAAGTGGCCATCTCTTTACGTGGAACTGTCAGAACCCCCCATACACTAGCGTCAGTACATCCATTTTTTTTTTAAATGGGTGTTACGTAGCTACATCCATTGTCGATAAAATTACAGCAGAGAGAACGTCGAAAATGGATGTAGTTCGAGTCTGAGCTGTCAGAAGTGAGAGATACGTTAGTCAAATACTTAAAGATAGATAATCAAAGATGAACATACAGAAATAAGAGAAAGAAATACATAATTAACAAAAATTTATTTCTTTGAAAGACTTCAAAAATTTTATATTGTTTAAAGAAAAAAATTTTCTTCAAAATTAGACTTTAAAAATTTCATTTTATTAAAAGAAAAAATAAATATTCTTTGAAAGATATCAAAAATTAGTTCAAAATAAGTCCTTCGACGAAAATTTCTTTTTAAGAAATGCTTTGCTCCTAAGAATTATTTCTTTTTAAGAATCGAGACGAAATTTTACTCCTACTTTCAATCTTAATTAAACTTTCTAGACCTATTTTGGCTGCATTCAGCAGAGAAAGCAGATTTGCAACTAATGTGAGATTCTTCAACATGATTGGTTTTGCACTTAGTTCTTCGCGGATCTAAATGTATAAACCAATCATATTAAAGAATTTTATAACAATTGCAAAGACGCTTTTTTCTGCTGAACACAGCCTTTGTTTATGGAGAGAACAGCGTGCATTTGTGTGTATGTGATTATTTGGAAATAAGTCAAATATGTGGGACAGTAAAAGATAAAGCGGATAAGTTGAAAGGTGTAGAGGTAAGAAAAATGGAGGGGAAGAAATAAATAAAGTAAAAAGATAGAATTTTGAGTTATAAAAGGAGGCAGGCGGCAATAGAAATTAGAGCGATGAAAAGGTGAGAAGCATAGGTATCGTGGATAAGATAAGCAGTAAAAATAGGACAGTATCGAGATATAATTAATTGTAAAAATAGAAAAATGAAAAAAAGGAAATAGATAAATTAAAAAGGTAGAATTTTGAGGATGTAAAAGGAAACAGGCGGTAGAAGAGGTTAGAGCGGCGAAAAGGCGGGAAACACTGAACTACAACTGGAATGTGCACTGCTATACTGTGTCCATAAGCGTAAAACGATCTTGAGATAGCATGATGTGAAAGGCCACCTCTCTCTTTCTAATAGGACTTCAAGATTTGTTCAGATTTGACGCTATCCGGATATCCGTTTATCCGGATTACGAATAAATGTAATGCTTCAAATTCGGGATATTCGAATTTTCTAAGAACCCGAATAATAGAAGTGTCAGATAGCTAGATTGGATAGCTGATTTCGGTCCACTTTTTTATCTTTTTTTTTATTTTATTTATATTTTATTGATGTTATAATATTGTACAACTGTTGAAAACGTGTGTAAGATGATGAATTCAGATTTGGATCTGAATTTAGATCCTTATATAATAATTTGGATATCTTGATTACCCGAATAATCTGAATAATCCGGTTTTGAATTTTCGAATCCAAATCGATCTCGGATATCTTCTATGGCTCTGTAAGCTAGAAGTAATAAAGATTTTTCTTTTTTTCTTTTAATACCAAAAAAAAAATTTACATCTATTTCTTAAATATTGTTTTAGTTAAAAAATCCTAAGGAAAAAATAGGAAAGAAATAATTCTCAAGCAAAATAGTTATTAGATTTGCTATTAATTTTATTATATATGAAAATAATATTCAAAAAATGTTAATTTAAACTATATGTTATCAGATATTATAGGATATCAATAATTTATAGTATATTTTTTATTTAGAATATTTGAGATTTCTAATAAAAATGTCTTTTGAAATTATTTTCTAATATTAGATAATAACGTGCTTTCAATTAATAATATTTCTACATAATTAAGTACTAAAAAAATTTTATTAATTATAAAAATGCAGCTTTTGTATATGGTATAATTATTATTTTATTATTTTATAATACACTGTATAATCACATATACCAAAAACTAATTTTCTCATAATATATCTATATTAATATAACGCGTGCAATTAAATAATTTTGTAAATATTATATTTAATATTATAAAAAATTAATTATTTGTATCACAACAATTAGTGCCGTAAGATCGACATCAAATAAATAAGAGTAATTAAATTATGTAGGAAATTTTAATTAAGAAAATCTAGAGCTATGGATTTGTACATAGAATTTGAGGGTTTTAAGAGATTTTGCAGAAAACATCTTTTGAATCTTAAAGTAGAAAATTTTCCGATAACTGCCATTCAGAGGTACAAAGTAGGAGCTATATTCCCATATAGATTAGAACGCATTATAAATTTTTAAAATTTATATACCTTTTAAAATTAAAGTTCAAAGTAAGAGCAAAATTTCGATAATGAAATAGATTTAACCCGTATTTATTTATTTTTTAATAGAAAAAACATTTGTTTTGTCAACACAGCATTTTACCTTGTTTAGACATAAAATCTTCGTAGAGGCCTGAAATGACTACAAAGATAAATTTTCTATAAAAATACAAACATGGTTAACGAAGTCGAAAAAATCGAGGTATGCCGTTTGTGTGGAAAAGAGTCTCGAAACTGTTTTTCAATATTTCAAGACGAAGATAATATTCTCGAAAAAATAAATACATGTTTACCGATCGATGTAAGTTTAAAAGATGTATGATACTTTTTGGCACATTTAAATTTTTGAACTTGAATTTTTATTTCATAATATATAAATACTATTATATTCTTTGTGTTTCTAGATTTCTTCGGATGATAAATTGCCTTCCAATATATGCAGATGTTGCTCATATCGTTTAAGTATTAGTTATAAACTGCGTTGTACTGCAGTTGAGGTAGATGAGCGTCTGCGAATGCAATTACATCAAAGGCAGAGCGATGATGTCTACACAATAAAGATACAAATAACTTT